TCCAAAGAATGACCTGCTGTTTGAACTTTCTACGCTGAAGTTGTTGGCGATTAAATTACTGCAAATTACTCCCAAAAAAACTCTGAGTGTTAGTTTCAACTAAATTGTGTAAGCAAGCCCATCCTGCAAAAACAAAATCTGTAGGGCTGTTGGAGAGAATGACACTAAAGACCTAGCAATTTCTATATACGAAGAGTAATCAAAGTTATGAAACTAAAAACGTTTAAATATATAGAAATAGAAAAATCTAAATATATAGTGAAATATCAAGAACATACAGCTTTAACTTTTCTCCGTTGACCCATGAAGGAAAGCTCCCCAGTAGATTGTTGTATGATAAATCTCTGCATGCGTATCATGAGAAAAAACATCAAATACATAGTTCATACAAATAAAATAACAATGCTGTGATCATTATTGTCGTACATATAAAACCACTCAAGTTCTCTGTGTTTTCCTCATGAACCTAAAAGAGCTTTGCTTTGCAATAATAGGTATCCATGTCTTGAAGACAAAAAATATGACTGACAGAAAAGACTGCAGGACAAGGAATGGTCTCCAAATCATCTTGCCGGAAGAAAAACTTCAAAACAATTTGAGATTACTAAAATTGTTACAAAGTAGCCTAGGTGAAATGACTCTAGTGGTGAGCAAAATCGGTTCACGACTTATTGTAGCTTATTGCATATAAACCTGTACTTCCCTGAAGTTGTTTGCTTAGTTCTAGGTATTTAGTAGAAATCTCCAACTCAAAGTCAACCTTTAGCATCTAGTATCAGGGTCACTCCAAAAAACTTGGAAAAAGAAAAGTTGGGCATTCAAAATCCTTCAAGTTCATGTAAAAGCTGATACTGTACAGTTCAGATAAACCCAAAGTAAATGCATTCCATTCATACACACAGATATGACTTTATCAAATCTCAAATGTAGAACATATCTATCAGAAAACTCCAGTTTAACGCATTACAGTGATGCTCAAAGCAAATAGGCAGATATACTTACATGTTGAGAAGAGACGAACTTTTAGATTCAGGCAGGGCAACTTATTGTTTCCAAGAAACCTAATTATGAAGACAGAAATACATGCCTCAATACTTTAAGCGTACATTCAGAAGGAATATAAAATAATTAAGAGGGAGTGACAAATTACAGAATAGAGAGCGAACTCAAGTTAAACAGTGAGTCTGGTATCTGTCCAGTTAAATTGTTGAAGCTCAAATCCCTGGGGCGAAAAAAGAATAACTCAGTTATGTCCATTAAGACAAAAGCAGCTATCCTAAAAATTCTTATAAAACAAGAACCATCATGTTGATGAACTAAAACTGGTAAAATTGAATACCCTCATGGTAATATTAGT